TCACCGCCGTCATCCCCACCAACGTCTTCGGGCCGCACGACAACTTCAACATTGAGGATGGCCACGTCTTGCCGGGGCTCATCCATAAGGTCTACCTGGCCAAACGTGAGTAGGGCAGGACTTCTTATGGCTTTTTGGGGTGGGGAGGGTTGGGTTTTTTGGTTTATTTCCCCTCACCTTGCCTGCTCCATGAGCTCTGCAGGGTAGCCAGGGGCAGCGAAGATGTCTGATGCTCATGGACATGCTCTCCTTTCTCCCACAGAGACCGGCTCAGCTCTGACCATCTGGGGCACGGGCAAGCCCAGGAGACAGTTTATCTACTCCCTGGTACGCATGGCCTCAGGGAGCACTTGCATCTCACGGCTTGGGGAGGGCAGCGTACGGGGCTGGGGGGGGGACCGGTGCCTGGACCCCAGCAGGGTCTGAGCCCACCTGGGTTGTCCTGGGCAGTGTTGGCCATCCTCAGGGTTGGGTTCCCTTGCGATGGGAGGGCTAGGGGACAGCAGCCACCCTCCAAGAGTCATCTGCCCCTCTGCAGGACCTGGCCCGGCTCTTCCTTTGGGTCCTGCGGGAATATGATGAGGTGGAGCCCATCATTTTGTCAGGTAAGTCCCCATAACCCCCCCTCCAGCCCCTTTCCAAGAGGACGGAGGAACAGCCACAATCATGCCCTCCTCCACAGTGGGAGAAGAAGATGAAGTCTCCATCAGGGAGGCAGCGGAGGCGATCGTGGAGGCCATGGACTTCAGTGGAGAGCTTGTTGTATCCTTCACCACAGGCTGGTCCATGCCAGGCTACTGTGGCATGGGGGGCACCCCACTTTGCACCAGCAGATGTAGGGCTCCAGGGGAGATGGCGTGGTCCAGAGCAGCATCCTGGTGGAAAACCTTTGGTTTCCCTTGACCCATCCCATGCCAGTTCGACACCACCAAAGCAGACGGGCAGTTCAAGAAGACGGCCAGCAACGCCAAGCTACGGCGCTACCTGCCTGGCTTCCAGTTCACACCCTTCAGGCAAGGTGAGATGAGGGGCTCCAGGAAAAAGGGGGGGTCCTCCCACTGCCATTCGCCTTGGTGGCATCAGGGTGGTCCATCCTTCAATACCTAAAGGGGGGTTACAAGAAAGATGAGAACAGACTTTTTAGTAGGCCCTGGGGCGATAGGACAAGGAGTGATGGTTTTGAGGGGAGATTCAGACTATCATAGAATACCGGGTTGGAAGGGATGTCGAGGATCATCTGGTCCAACCTTTCTAGGCAAGAAAATTTAGGACTAGATCCAAGGAAGAAATTTTTTATGCTGAGGGTGGTGAGACACTGGCCCTGGTTGCCCAGAAGGCCGCCTCCACCCCCCCCAACGTCTTCGGGCCGCACGACAACTTCAACATTGAGGATGGCCACGTCTTGCCGGGGCTCATCCATAAGGTCTACCTGGCCAAACGTGAGTAGGGCAGGACTTCTTATGGCTTTTTGGGGTGGGGAGGGTTGGGTTTTTTGGTTTATTTCCCCTCACCTTGCCTGCTCCATGAGCTCTGCAGGGTAGCCAGGGGCAGCGAAGATGTCTGATGCTCATGGACATGCTCTCCTTTCTCCCACAGAGACCGGCTCAGCTCTGACCATCTGGGGCACGGGCAAGCCCAGGAGACAGTTTATCTACTCCCTGGTACGCATGGCCTCAGGGAGCACTTGCATCTCACGGCTTGGGGAGGGCAGCGTACGGGGCTGGGGGGGGGACCGGTGCCTGGACCCCAGCAGGGTCTGAGCCCACCTGGGTTGTCCTGGGCAGTGTTGGCCATCCTCAGGGTTGGGTTCCCTTGCGATGGGAGGGCTAGGGGACAGCAGCCACCCTCCAAGAGTCATCTGCCCCTCTGCAGGACCTGGCCCGGCTCTTCCTTTGGGTCCTGCGGGAATATGATGAGGTGGAGCCCATCATTTTGTCAGGTAAGTCCCCATAACCCCCCCTCCAGCCCCTTTCCAAGAGGACGGAGGAACAGCCACAATCATGCCCTCCTCCACAGTGGGAGAAGAAGATGAAGTCTCCATCAGGGAGGCAGCGGAGGCGATCGTGGAGGCCATGGACTTCAGTGGAGAGCTTGTTGTATCCTTCACCACAGGCTGGTCCATGCCAGGCTACTGTGGCATGGGGGGCACCCCACTTTGCACCAGCAGATGTAGGGCTCCAGGGGAGATGGCGTGGTCCAGAGCAGCATCCTGGTGGAAAACCTTTGGTTTCCCTTGACCCATCCCATGCCAGTTCGACACCACCAAAGCAGACGGGCAGTTCAAGAAGACGGCCAGCAACGCCAAGCTACGGCGCTACCTGCCTGGCTTCCAGTTCACACCCTTCAGGCAAGGTGAGATGAGGGGCTCCAGGAAAAAGGGGGGGTCCTCCCACTGCCATTCGCCTTGGTGGCATCAGGGTGGTCCATCCTTCAATACCTAAAGGGGGGTTACAAGAAAGATGAGAACAGACTTTTTAGTAGGCCCTGGGGCGATAGGACAAGGAGTGATGGTTTTGAGGGGAGATTCAGACTATCATAGAATACCGGGTTGGAAGGGATGTCGAGGATCATCTGGTCCAACCTTTCTAGGCAAGAAAATTTAGGACTAGATCCAAGGAAGAAATTTTTTATGCTGAGGGTGGTGAGACACTGGCCCTGGTTGCCCAGAAGAGTGGTAGATGCCCCATCCCTGGAAACGTTCAAGGTCAGGTTGGACGGGGCTCCGAGCAACGTGATCTGTTTGAAGATGTCCCTGCTCACGGCAGGGTGGCTGGACAAGATGACCTTGAAAGGTCCCTTCTGACGCAGGCCATTTGATGATTCTATAAACCAACAGCGTTCCCAATCCCCAAACCCATCCCATCTTCTCCTTCCCCAGCCGTGAAGGAGACCTGTGCCTGGTTCAGTGCCAACTACGCCAACGCCAGGAAGTGACGGGCCAACGCGGCACCAGGACCGGCATCACCCGGCACCATCCTCTTCAACTCAGGGTTGTCCTTTGCTGGGGCAGAGGACGTTTTTGGGTGGGGGGTGGGGGTGGTGAAAGTGACATTTCCAAAGTTAAAAGGGAGTGGGGAGGCAGAGCCCAGTGAGCAGTCCCCACGTTCCTGCCTGCTGCTGAGACCAGCGTGGGATACCGAGGGCAGGGCAGGGAGGAAGGTTGGGGCACCCTGAAGGTGCTGGGACCCCAGACAGGGTGGTAGCCACCAACCGGAGCCCCCACCACCGCCGCCTTGGCCATATGCAGGATGCTGGCAGCTCCTGCTGAGCTGTAATGGGCTACACTTTTAATTACCTGTAATTAGGCTGTAATAAAGGGAAGGTGATCAGGGTTGTTTCTCCAGCGTAGGAATGGCAGCTCGTTGCTTTCGGCACATGGGGATGGTCCTGAAGCCCCCAGCAAAGCCACCCCTGCCCCAGCATCAGGATGGGGGTGTGGGGTATGGAACTGGAACAGGGAAGGCTCCAGCTGTAAATATGGCATTTATTAAAATATATGCAAATAGCATAAAACCGATGGGACAAGGAGCATCTGCCCCGCAGCACGGTACCGTATCCACAAAAGGGGGTTAAAACCCCTCTGGGAGGGGGTAGAGGCTGGTGGGGGGATGAGTCCATGGCCAAGCCACTGCGCAAGGCTCAACCAGGGATGTGGACGTGGCAGAAGTCCTGGCCAGGGATGGCTTTCTTAGAAGTGTAGAATCATGGAATTGTTTAGGTTGGAAAAGACCTTTAAGATCATCAAGTCCAACCATTATCCTAACCTTGCTATCCCACCACTAAACCATGTTCTTCTGGCACTGCTGCCCAGCCCCGGTGAGCCCCTGGCCTGGGGACCACAAGGACCCATGGAAGAGAGACCAGCACCCCAAGAAGCCCACAAGAGGGGTTGTCCCCCCACAGGTCAATGGCTACACCCTGAGCACCAACGTGCCCCTGGAGAAGGGATGTCCCCTATGGTTGGCACTCACGCATCGCTGGCCAGAGACTGGTTTGGGTCATAGGGTTTGAGCTCTCGATGCTTCCTGGTGCCCAGGGCCAGCTCTGGCATCGCCTGGTAGGGGAAGAAGGAGTTCAGACAGGGCATCCTCCATCCCTGCTGACCCTCCTGTCCTGCAGGAGATGTCATTTGTCTCCTGGGGACATGTGGGTCATACGGGACGGGGTGCCTTGGCCATCATCCATCCTTGGAGGACACCCCCATCCACCCAAAAGTCCTCCCTGGGTGTCGTGTCCCCGCAAGCTCTGTGGCACCAGCCCTGGCCCCTCTCCCAAGGGGGTGTCCAGCACCCAGAGGTGCAGTCACGATGAAGACACCCCAGCCCTAGAGACCCTGGCCCTCGGAGGGACCCACCTGGCTCCCAGGAGCAGGGTCTGGCCTGACCTCGGGACATTCCACCCAGCACCTAACCCCAGCTCAGGCTTACCCCACACGAGCTCAGCTTTGTCCTCCAGCCACCACTGCAGATGGGTGACACCCACCCTGCTAAGCCGGGGAGGTCCCTGTCATCGCTGGGGGCTGCTCCAGGCATGAAGACTCTGCAAGAACATGGCATGGGTGGTGACGCATTCCCAGCACTGCTGTCCCCAAGTGTTGGATGGGGACACCCTGGGGTGGTGCACGTGCCCTAGCATAGCTTGGGGACCCTCTGGGGTAACAAATGCCCCAGCACAGGATGGGGATGCGCTGGGGCTTCAGACCCCTGTCCTACAGCCACCACACCTCCCACCTCATGGTCATCTCTCCCATGTCCTCCTCGCCTGGCTAGCTCTCACCTTGCAGGCAGCTCATCTCCATCCTGTCCAGCTCCTCCTGCAGCACCTCCATTTCCTACTCCCTACGTGGGAAGAAGGAAAAAGCAGAGCCCCATCACCTTCATGGCTTCTGTGTCACCATCATGGTGGCAGCCCCCTTCTCCAGCCTCCCCACACCCTTCTCCGGGCAGAAATAAGCCAGGTAGTCAGCATGAGGTGCCCAAAAGCTGCAGGCAAGCCATCGAGATGTGTCCTGCCCCCTCCTGGGGACCAGCAGCCCACCCTGGGGACCTCTGCCCAGGCAGCAGCAGGATGAGACAGCCAGGATGGGTGCCCAGGCTGGATCCTAGCAGCTCCCAAGGGTGCCATGCCCATCCTGTCCCCCGCCAACCATCTCCTACCTGTCCGGGGTGGGGGAGAGCGGGTGACGGGGCTCTTCCCAGGGAAGCACCAGCCAGGCTCCCCCAGCACCGTGGCGGGTGGGCGGCCAGCACTGGCCACTGCCCTGCGGGGAAGTGAGAAGGTGGGAGAGGGCAGAGCGACCCCAACCTACCCCTGTAGCACCCCCCAGGGCACTGTGTTCCCAACCAGGTCCCCTCACCCCTGTCCCCACCTGCCACGGCAATGGCCAGGAGAGCAGAGAGTGCCAGGATGCTGAAGGAGCTCACCAAGGGCGCTAGAGGTGAGGAAGAGGAGGAGGAGGGTGGCATGGGCACCAGTAGCGTGACCAGCAGCACAAAGTAGGAGCCATGTAGGATGCAGGTGGAGATGGTGGTTGGGCTCCAACCTGTGGGACGGGGAGTGAGAGCCCAGCGTTGGCACCCACCAGCACCCATCCGCCCTCCAGCACCCACCCCTGGCTGGGTCCAGGATGACGTGGAGGTGCTGCAGACTGTTCTCCAGCCATCTCCATGCACCCTCCATGGATGCCAGCGTCAGCCCTAGGTTCCAGTTGACCCACTGCAGCTTCTTCATCACCTGGCGCTGCTGGGCTGGGAGAAGGGCCAGGTCGCTCTCTGCACAGGGAGGAGATGGATATGGCGTTGGGATGAACTGGGAAAGCTGCAGCCAGGGGCATCCTGGTGCAGAAAGAGCTGGGAATGGGGTTTGCCACATTCCCACCTAGTTGGGAATAGACATCCCGAGCTCTTTCCTGCGCATGGTGGAGGTCGGACAGGACAACCCCATGCCCTTCCTGGCACCCCGTGGCCACTCATGTTCCCTGTCAGAAGGCACAAGAGGTTGGGTCGGTCCCCAAGGTGGGACACAGGGGTGTAGCAGTGTTCCAACTGGTGGCTTTTACCCATCCGCTGGGTGATGTCCTCCATGGGCTTGGGCCACCCAGCGCTGCCCACTGGTGCTGAGGGTCTCATCCAGTGCCGGCCACCGCAGGCTGCGGTGGATGGGGATCTCCCGTCTCAACCGCAGCCACCCGCTCCCGCAGCTCCTCCTGCCTCTCCTGGGGTGAATATTGGGGGGGGGGTGATAGGGGGGGG